ATCTCCAATAGGCTCATCAACTTCGTGGCTCTCAAGCGCGGCTTCGAGGTGATGACGCTGGACGTGACGGACGCCTTCTACCAGGCGCCCGAGCACGAGGACGCGGTGGTGGAAACACCGCAGGAGTACCTGGACAGGCTGCAGGCAGAGGGCAGGAGCACGGACATCTACTGGAAGCCGAAGAGACAGCTGCCTGGCAGGCGCACGGAGGCGCCTGGCTGGGTGGAGCACATGGCGGGCACCCTCGCGGACGAGATGCGCATGGCGAGGTGCGAGGTGGCCCCTCAGTTCTTCTACAACTCGGGGACTGAGGTGGTGGCCGAGCTCCACGTGGACGACCTGCACATGGCAGGACCAATGGGGCGCGTTGGAGGGCTTCCGCGATGAGCTGGGACAGCACGTGACCTTCAGCGGCGGCGAGTTCCTCGAGTACGGCACCACCTACGAGCACCTGAAGAGGCTGAGAACGCGGTTCGAGCACGGGACGGGGCTGAAAGCGAACCCGAAGAATCTGGACTTCGTGGTGGAGACCCTCGGCCTCGGGAACTCGAACACGGCGCCCACGCCAGGGGTGCCAGCTCACAAGGCACTCATGGGGAGGCATCTCTGCCCTGTCTCCCGTTCAGGCTGGCATCTACCGATCTTGCGTGGGGGCGCTGATGTACTACGCCCAGGGCAGGGCGGACTGCCAGTGTGAGGTGAGCTTGCTAGGACGGATGCTGTCGGGCCCCACCGTCGGCGCCTTCACCGCACTCAAGAGGCCGGTCAGGTACCTGATGGGCACGAGGGGCGCGGTGAACTGGCTTCCGAGGCCGACGGAGGGCTCGAACGTGGAACTGGTGGGCTACGGCGACAGCGACTGGGCAGGTGACCTGCCGACGAGGAGGTCGCAGTCGAGCGGCGAGATCGAGGTTGACAGCGCCCCCATGTTCAGCAGGCGCCAGGGGATCGTGGCAACCAGCTCGGGAGTGGCAGAGCATTACGCGGCGACGGCGGTCGCCGAGGACCTCCTTTACTTCAAGTCGCTCCTGGAGCTCACGGGCTTCACGGTGGCGGCTACTCTTTTGACGGACTCGTCGGCGGCCCGACGGACTCGTCGGCCGCCCGAGGCGCGCGCGCTTTGGCTCCAGCAGGCGATCAAGAGGATGCTGATGGGCCTCGGGGCCGTCGGCACCGACGACAACAAGGCGGACTTGGGCGCGAAACTCCTCGGGTACGAGCGCTTCGTTAAGCTCGGGGCGATGAGCGGCATCTACGCGGACATGGGCCAGGTCGCGGAGAGCGACCACCAGTCGGAGGAGGTGGACTTCGACGTGGGGGCGGCGGCCCGGGTTCGGCGCGCCAGAGGCGTGGCCACTTCACCGGGTGTGAGCCGCTCAGCGGTCCTGGCGATGATCACGGCGGCGGTGGCGCTCTTTCAGAGGTGCGAAGGACCCGCCACCGAGTGCGACGGCCACTACGACACGGAGGTTTGCTCCAAGGACGGCGCGGTCGCGAGCGACTGGACGAACTATTGGCTGGTGGTGGTCGTCTGGGCGCTGGTCGTGGCCACCGTCTTCGGCTACGCGGGGTTCCGCTACGCCAGCTGGGGGGAGCCAGAGTGGCTCCTTGTCTTGACCGGGCCCGATGACGCGAAGGACAAGAAGATCGACTCAGGCATCGGCTGCATGTCAACCACGTCGACCATGGATGGTGGAGCAGAGCAACCGGACGAGGAGGACGGTTGGCACTCAATCGCAGACAACATACAGGTGGAGATGGGCTACTCCGCGTTTCCAGCCACTGCCGATCAGCATGCACGGTGCCTTCCTTGAGGTGCATGCTGGGAGTGACGGCAAGGCCAGAGGGCTTTCTGTACTGAGGGCCAGGGTGGGGACCTTGAGCGGCTACGCGTTGCACTGTGAGAGAGGACGGTGCGAGATTTGCTGAGCTCACGCTCTATCCGCCATGCTTAATACTAGTAGTTTTCTCATTGGATGCTGAACCGATCAAGCGAGTCCACTCGATACGCTCAGACCCGCTGTGGGATAGTGCTCTGATTGTTATACCTATTCAGCCCGGGGGGCGCCCCAGCCCAGTCTGCATCTTTATGGGAGTCGTTTGAAAGCTCGACTCTAGGCTTTCGCCGAGCTTCCACGGGGGCGTGTTGTGGATTGTTTTTGCTGGGGTTGGAGGCCCCCCTGTGCAGGAGTAAGCATAGCATGGCATGGTCGGAGCAGTGTTGACAGGTCTTCTTGGCTCAGGAGATGAGCGCAACATCATCAATCTAGCTACAGAGACATAAACAAGTTAGGAGGAGAAATGGGAGAAGGAGGAGGAGGAGGAGGAAAATCACGTCCTTGGTTTCGGTGTCGGCGCGGGTTGGGCGAGACGTCTCGATGTTCGCTGAATTTTACGTCGTTGGTCTGAGTTCCGGGTTCTGGTCGACGTGAGGTCGGTGAAGTGGTGCCCGAGCGCTGTCTATGCTTCGGTGTCTTGGGCGGTTTGCGTCCATGTGATGTCGTTCGGTTGTCCTTTCGAATGGGCTTGCGCGGGCGGTCGGTGGAGATTTGGTCTGCGTTGACGCGAATAAGTGGTGACGTCGTCGTCCCAACGCTTGTTTTAGCCACCGTGCTGCTTGTGTCCCCGCTGTCGCGGGTTGAGAACTGGGTACCAGCGCAGCATTCGCCATGTCCACCTCGTCCGGGCGTGGTTTGCGACTCGCGAAGCCATGCGCCATATGTTCCGTTTGCGCAACGTCTCCCAGTTGTCACTGTGGTGGAGTTTCATGAGGTGCTCTGCGCGCGTGTCGCTCGCTGGATGTAGTCGACCCATGGTTCCATTTCGTCTGCAGTGGTGCTGTCTTCGCCGTCTTCGCTGTGCTTGTCAGGCGTGTCAGGTGCATCACACTGTGATGGGTCGCTGCCTGCATCGTCGCTAGTGCTGTTGGTGCGGTCTTCGTGGTTTTGTGTTTCGTTGTTCGCGCCGTCGAGATTAGGTCCCTGGCCGCTGTGAGTGCCGGCTTCTTTCGTTGTGCGTCTCCGTGGCGTTCTGATGATCATGCGAAGCATGCGTCGTTGTGTCCGTCGTAGATGCTGCCCCGTAGAGGGTCCGTGAGCGTCCACGTCTCTGTTCCGTACAACGCTGTTGGTGCTGCAGTGCTGTTGGAAAGTCGGAGTCGGTGAGCCAGTGGGTAGTGTTTGCTGGTCAGCTCCTGCTTGCGAGACGCAAATGATGCCCATGCAGCTCGCGTGCGATGGTGGATTTCCGTTTCCATCGGTTCGTGGAAGCTGATCAATTGGATTGCCCTCGTATGGAACGATTTCTATATCCATGTCTTGGAAATGTGTTGTGCGTGAGCTCGCCCTTCCGGTCCTTTTCGTCTGGTTGCTCGGTATTTTGGTCTTGTATGGGTGTAGTTCGAGCCCGTGTAGCCCCGTCGCGCGCACAATGTCGTCAAGCATCGCTGTCAGGCGTGGGAGAGTTTGGCTGGTCAAGAGCACGTCGTCGGCGAAGCGTACGTTGGTCAGCGTGGCGGTGCTCGTGAATCCCAATTCGACTCCCTTCCTTTTTTGCTGCCATTCGGAGACCAGCGGTCCAAGGATGTATTGTAGAAGAGCGTTGAAGAGTAGGGAGCTGAGTGGGTCTCCTTGCTTCGTGCCCCGCAGGAGGCTAAGGGGTCTGCTGCTGACGTCTGTCCTCACCGTGGTTGTCTGTCCCTCATAGAGCTGTTGGAATAGTGCAACGTATCCAGGTTGGACCCCTTGTGCCTTCAGTGCTGCCCATATGCTCTTGTGCTCAACTGAGTCGAAAGCTTTTTTGAAGTCAAGTGCTGCGACCCATAGGTTTTGGCCCCATTCGTTTGCTTGCTCGCGCCAGAAATGGAAGGTAAAGAGGTGGTCAGTCGTCGAGTGGCCTGATCTGAAGCCCGCCTGGTCGGCAGTCTGGTGTGAGTCAAGCGTCGGTTGTAGCCTGTTGTACAGTAGTCGGCCGAAGAGCTTGTACAACAATGCTATCGTACAAATCGGGCGGTAGTTTTGTGGAGCGCGAGATCTCCACTTTTTGGTATGACTGTAATGACATTGCTCTTCCAGCTGGCCGGCGGCGGGGCTTCGCGCCGCAGGACCGTGTTGTAGAGGTTGAAAAGTGCACCTCTGAGTTCCTCTGTGCCTTCTTTGAGCATCTCTGCGCGGAGGCCTTTCGTGTCTGGGGCTTTACCAAGCCGGAGACCTTTGATCACCTTGTTTAGCTCTTTCGGTGTGAAGGGTGGGGGCCGGTGGGTCTGCTGGTCGCTGGTCGGTCATAGGTCTGCCAGTCTGTTGGCCGGCGGGCGGGGGTCGGTCTGCTGGTCTGCTGGTCGGTCGGTCGGTCTGGCGTGCGGTTTGTTGCTTTGCCGGTCTGCTGGTCGGTCTGTTGGTCGGTGGTCGGTGGGGTCGTCGTTTGATCTTTGTGGGAGTCGGTGGGTCTGCTGGTCGGTCGGTGGTAGTCGGCCTGCTGGTCTGCTAGTCGGCGGTCGGTGGTCGGTCTCTTGGTCTGCTGGTTGGTCGGAGGGTGCGGCGTTCGGCCTGTTGGTTTGCCGGTCTGCTGGTCGGTCTGCTGGTCGGTCTGCTTGTCTGTGGTCGGTGGGGTCGTCGTTCGGTCGTTGTGGGAGTCGGTGGGTCTGCTGGTCGGTCGGTGGTAGTCGGCCTGCTGGTCTGCTAGTCGGCGGTCGGTGGTCGGTCTGCTGGTCCGCTGGGTGGTCGGTCGGTCTGCTGGTCTGAGGACGAGGAGGAGGATGAGGAGGAGGAGGAGGAGGAGGCGGAGTAGGAAGCGGAGGAGGAGGAGGAGGAGGAGGAGGAGGAAGACGGAGAAGGACGGGGGAGCACGAGGGGGAGAACGGAGGACGAAGAGGGAGGGAGGAAGGCGGAGCAGGATGAAAACGGAGGCGGAGGAACAGAAGGAGGCAGATGACGATGACGATGCCGATGACGAGGACGAGGACGATGGCGAGGACGAGGTGGAACACGCGAGCGCCCTCCCAGGTGGACCTGTGCATCCCCCACCTGCCGGAGGCAGAGGGCCGCCGGCTGCGCCGCGAGCTGCGGCGTGGGGCTGAGCTCCTGCTTGCCGAGGCGCCCTCCCTGGACGCCCTGCTCCAGGAGTCGGGTCGGGGCGCCGACCTTGGACGGCAATGTCTACACGCCGGTCGTTGAAAGTAGGTGATTTTTTGTTCCCAGATCCCAGTCTAGTTTCGGCGCATTCCTACCTCAAGGATCGAAAGGCTTCCTTCTTCCCTCCTCTTCAGGGGTCGTGCGAAAGCCCGATCTACTTCCAGCGCCTTCCTACTTCATGTTTCTACCCACTTTTTCCGACCGGCGTGTACCTGCTTCTAGAAGGCTTCTTTCTGGGGCATATACCAAATGCCGTTTTGATTTTCCAGTCACAGGCGTCCATAGACACCTTAAGTATCGTTGCGTATCAACACATTTAAGGTGAATATGTCTAAAAGACGTCGCGGCCGTTGCGTTCGGCGTCAGAGGAAGGGTAGATCCGTCCACGGCATGCTCATTTGCGAAAGCAGGTCCCACATGGTACTTCAACGCCAACCCCCCTGGCATGATTATGTTATTTCTCCTGGCGAGACAGGGCGTGACAGCGGGGGAGGAGGGAGGAGGAGGCTAGTTACGTTACGATTCGCGTCAGGGCCATATGGGAATACCTAGGGACGGCTGCTTCCACACGGCGCCAGTGCGAATCGTAGCGTTATCAGGGCTGGGGGGAGGGGGTGGAGGCGGGACGGGTCACGGGTGTCATCGCACGTAACATCAAACAACGAGCTCCAGTCTTCGCGCTGCGGCACAACATCACGACGGAGGGTTTGGGGCCTTCTCTGGGCTTCGGGGAGTGCTTTTGATTTATTTCTGGGCGCGTAACGGTCATCACCTGAGCCCCCCCGCCTCCCCGGACCACGGTAACGACCGTACGTAAAACGGTGCCCCGCCGGCGTAGACTTGGGTGGCGCGCAACATTGCGCGGCGTCGGCGTTTGCAAAAGCGCCGGATGAGGGAGAGCGTGGCTTGCAAGAAAACGACCCGCCCGCACTGGATAGTTACACCCCCGTCTACTGTGCCCCGGTCTCGTAGGGAGGGGGGCTTGGCCCCCCCCCCGCTTATGTCGGTGCTCGCGGCAATGCCATGGCGGTCGCAGTTCGTCCCCGCCCCGACGAGCCCCACCCCGCCCAAGCGTTAATTACCGCCACCGAGTCGGCACCCCGTCCTTCCGGAAGTGTCTTTGGAAAAAGACACAACCTTCCTGTGGTGCTGGGTCGTCGTTTTGAAGAGACGGTTCCCGCGTCTCCTTCTCCTCCCATGCCCCCCCCCCCCCCCCCAGTGGGGGTACCACATGCGTCTGCCACGCCCAGTGCAGCGCTTCCTGGCCCCATACAGAGCCCCACCCACGGCCCCAGTGGGGGTACCACATGCGTCCGCAACACCCAGTGCAGCGTTCCGTGGCCCCATACAGAACCCCACCCAAGGCCCCAGTGGGGGTGGCCACATGCGTCCGCCACAACCAGTACAGCATTTCGTGGCCCCAAAGGAGCTCCACCGAAGGCCCCATTGGGGGTGTCCACATGCGTCCGCCACACCCAGGACAGCGCTTCGTGGCCCCATAGGGAGCTCCATCGGAGGCCCCAGTAGGGGTGGCCACATGCGTCCGCCACACCCAGTGCAGCGCTTCGTGGCCCCATAGGGAGCACCATCGGAGGCCCAGTAGGGGTAGCCACATGCGTCCACCACAACCAGTACAACTTTTAGTGGCCAGTGGGAACGTCCGCATTCGCCCCGCACGCGCAATTTGACATTGTCTCCCACCCAGCACAGCGCTTCGTGGCTCCATGGGGAGCTCCACCGAAGCCCCTAAACTTGCACCCGCGCTTCGTGGCTCAATAGGGAGCTTCACCGAAACTCCCAATCGGACCGCCCACATGCGTCCCACACACCCAATGTGGCAGCTTCACCTTTTTTTTCCCCCCTGCAGCCTGAGTGCGCGCAGCGCGCACGTCCAGCTCCTGCGCCGCGGCACGCACGGCAACCCTGTTGGCCGCCTCTGGAGTCGCCGCAAACAGCGGCAACTCGCAGGGCAGAGCGGCGGCGACGCAGCAGGCGTCGCGGGCGGCAGCTCAGAAGAAGTGGAGCCCGCCGCGACGCCATCACGTGAGCGGCCTCCCCGAAGGAGCCATTTCTCTCATGATCTTCTCTGCCTTCCTTTTGCGCTCAGCCTGGGCGCTGGGCTTGAGCGCTGGGGCACAGACCGTGCCGAGCCCCCTGTGCTTGCCCTTCACCTCCTTCGTGTGGGCGTAGCACTTCAGGCAGACGCGGTACCCGAAGTACATGCGTAGGTCGTGGCCGCCGCCGTCCGCGTCGAGCGAGCCAGAGCCGCTGGGCAGCGGCGCAGCAGGCTGGGCCTCGGCGCCCCCATCGCCTGCCGACGGCGGCTCCCCCTCAGCACGCAGGTCACCGCCACCGACGGATCCCAGAATCTGGTTTTCGCCACGGTGCTGAACGAAGGAGGAGCTCGCCGCGCTGCTGCTCGCCTCACCACTGGCATGGTTGGGCTGGCTCTCGTCCTCCACGAAGCGGCGGGCTGCTGCGACCGCCACCGCGGCGGCTCCAGCGTGCGCCAGGGCCGAGGCGTTCGGCCGCTTCTTGCCTCCGCTGGTGTAGGCGTCGGGAGCGAAGGCCTTCGGCGTGCAGGCCAGCGCTGTGAGCTTCTTGGCCGTGATGTCAGTGAAGGCCGACCGCAGGCACCGCAGGCAGTGGAGCGCCTGGACGCCCTCGACGCCGCCCTCGATCTTGACCAGCTCGTGTTTGGTGATGTAGAGCCTGGGGGCCTTGGACTGAGGCTCCCTGTACTTGTCGCGAAAGTCGATCCTGAGATCAGCAGCTTCGGCGCCGGCTTGCGAAACCCAGAAGATCGCGCCGCCCAAGGTGAGCGCTCTCGTCTTCCTGGCCTCGCGCGCCTGCTCTGGCGCTCTGAAGTGGTCCGTGACAAACTTCGCCACTCGGTCAGCTTCGTGGTTGCCACGCCGACGTCGGAGTGTGATCTTGCCCTCGTCCACCTCCTTGAAAGTCGCGTGGCCCTTGACCTTCAACGCCGCGAGGCCGTCGCTGCTGAGGTCGCCGAAGTCGTCCAGCGCGTGCCAAATCCTGCGCCAGATCTCGCCCGAGGCGGACTTGTGCGAGGTAGTGGCCTCACGTCCTCTCTCCAGCAACCCTTTGACCACGTAGTCGGCGTCGAAGTGGGCCGTGATGGGAGGAAGCGAGTGCCTGAGGATCGCGTAGAGCGAGAGCAGCTCCGCGCCGTCGATTGACTGGATTGGCCCAGGCACGGGCGCCCATGGCCTTGACGCAAGATCCCTTGCCTGGATCTTCTCCTTCTGGTCCAGGCGGCAGCTCGACTACTGCGCATCTTGCCATGGCCAGCGAAGTGCCAGCCTCGTAGCAGCAGCCGTCGGCAAACAGCTCGGTGTTGATGAACGGGTCGGCGCTTCCTTTGAGCCAACGCAGCCCCTGGAGCAGGTCATCCTGCGGGGGGCGCCAGTCGTTGCTGGGCCCGGGCAGCAGGAGCCGCTCGAACAGTGTCTTGATCGTGATGCTGGACTCGAACTGCTTGAACTTCTCCAGCTCCTCAGGCAGCTCGAAACTGGGCCAGCTGTCGCAGCGCTCCAGGTGGCGGTGCCAAAGGGTGCCCAGGGAGCGCGGGCGCAGCGCGCAGTGCGGCGTGGGGGCGAGCCGCGGCGCTGCCTCATACCTTCGCTGGTTGAGCCACTGACCGTGAACCAGCAGCGACCTCGCTTAGCCTCATCTGCTTGTCGTCCAGGGACTTCCACTTGCGGCCCTCGAAGGTGGAGGCTTTGCCTGTGTTGAGCCACCTGCGCACCTGTGGGACGAAGGCGCCGTTGATGATGCCCTCGTGCGTGTCAGCCGCTAGCTGTCGTAGCTGCCAGGCCTGCGCGTCCATGCGCAGCGCCTGCTTGATGCACCAGGGCGACGAGCTCGTGATGTCGATGGCCTCGCAGGCGTTGTGCCTGAGCCACTGGGCGAAACTGCGCACGTCGTAGCCGACGCGCCTGAGCGACAAGACTGCCGCAGAGATCGGCCCTCGGACCTCGCTCCAGCTGCGAACGTGCCTCGCGAAGCCGTCGGAGGTCGACTTGGGCACCCCTGCGGGAATCCAGCCTTCCCATAGCGCACGTGCAAGGGTGCAGACAGGCGCCAACGCTGCGCCGTACATCGGGTCGATCTCGCGCGGCCCGCCGAAGACGAGGCAACCAGTGGTGGACTTGCCCTGCGGCCTCGGCTCGATTGCCTTGACGACCAGCGCCCTGGTGTGCTTGCGCTCGTTGTCAGACAGCCCAGTGCACGGGGCGCCGTGCATGATGCTGGGCATAAAGCCTGTGAAGGCGACCCTTGCCGCGGCGGCTCGGCCTCGCCGAAGCCCAAGAAGACGTTTGGTGCGAGGGGGCCGCGCCTTGGCGTTGGCCATGCGCAGCTTCCGCGCCGCGCTGGCACGTCGCCCACCTTCAGCGCGATCAACTCCAAGGTTGCGCACATCCGCCACTGCAACAGCACCGCAAGCCTTGGTCATCTTGGCCTGGGGCCCCTTCCTCAGCTTGGCGCTGCTCGCGAGGATCCTGGACTTCTCCGTCGCGACCTTGGGCTTCACCTTGCCGAGCTCCTTGACCAAAAGCTTGGCGCTGGCAACCAGGTCCTTCTCGACTTTGCTGGTGCCGCCCCATCGCTGCATCGCCAGGTCGTCCACGACCGCTGCGGGGGCAACAGCGTGGTGCTTGATCACCATCGCACCCAAAGGAGTGAGGGGCATCACCTTCATGAGTGCAGTGGCGAACGCGCCGCCTGCCAGCACCGTCTGCATCACCGCCAGCTCGTCCGGGCAGCAGCCCTCCAGGCAGACCACGCGGGGCATCCTGTACAGTATGACCTGCAGCTTGGCCAGCCAGAGCGAGAAGTTGCGGGCCTGGCAGGCCTTCAGGAGCTGGCTGTGCAGGATCTGCTCGAACGCCTTCCAGAGGTCGAGGAGGATCGACGCCGAGGCCCAGTCATGCTGCTCGTAGAACGCGCCCATCGTGTGGACCCCCACTCGGCCCTGACCTGCTGCTGCCACACGGCTCGGTCGCGACCCTTGCCAGCGCTGGTCCACCAGTAGGGCCTGTCGTGCTGCTGCCCCCACTGCTTCGCGATTGGCCGCCGCAGCCCCCCGTGGATGCGCACGGGGGCCCCCAGCAGCGCGATTGGACGAAGACCTCCGTCCGTCTTGGGGATGAAGGCCATCTTGGTGGCGAAGTCGGGCCACTCGCACCTCTGCCCAATCGCGTCGAACAGGTCGATCATGGCCTCGATGCCTTCGTCGTCCATCAGCTGCAGCTCCCCGAGCCTGAGCGAGTCGAAGGACGCACCCGTGGCCTCCTTGAAGCTGTTGGTAATCTTCCTGACCTCCTCGGCTGCGGGCCTGGGCGGCCTCTCGCCAAGCTCGTCGGGCCAGTCGACGCGGGCCTCCTGAAAGCTGGCGCAGGAAGAGGTGGGGCTCCCCAAGCACCAATGCCCTGACCATTCCTTCACCAAGGCAGTTACAGTCTCCTGGAGGGTAGGAGGAGAGCCGTCGGGGGGCGCACCCGTAGGGCGAGGAGCCCAGCCTTGTGGAGGTTTGGTGAGAGCATGGAGGGCCCCCGTGCCATTAATGTGATTGTCAACCACCCAGTTGTTGTAGCTCGACTGCCTCGCGTCGGCCTCCTTCTGGACCATCTTGTCGGCAGCCGCGTTGACGTAAGCAGCGATGCCCTGCAGCGTGCCGATGTCCAGGGGGGGAGGGCGTGGCCTCCGCCAAGGCGGCGAAGATGGTGATCGTGTCCAGCTTGTACTGGTCGGTGGTGGTAGTTACCTCCCTGCTGTCGTTTGAGGCCGTGGACCGAAACATCTCGCGACCCTCGATGAGGCTGGCTTCGCGGCGGGCCAGCTCATCGTCGTAAAGGTCCTTCGACTCCTGCTGCAGCTGCTTGAGCCATCGGTAGTACCAGGCCCTGTTGCCCGCCTGACTGGCGAACACGCTCAAGCACAGCTCGGAGGCCATGTCGAAGGCTGCCACCTGCAAGTTGGGGTCTTGAAGCCCACGGCGCCGTGCCCAGTCCTGAACCAGCGCCAGCATGGACGGGCGCGCGAGGAAGGTGGCGACCGAGGGCACGCAGTAGTGCTCCCAGTCCTCGCGTATGAACGTGTCCCTCAGCCTGCGCTCGTCGGACGGGTCGACGAGCCAGTGCCGCGCCCGCGAGCGCAGCGCGCGCTGGAGACCTCGCTTGGCCTCCTTCGCCTCCTGCCTGAACGGGTCCTCGTCGCGCTCCGTCGTCTCGTAGCGCTCGTTGGCGTCGACGAGGTCGGCGAGACCCTGCGACCACAGCCGGCTTTCAGCGATGGTCGGGCGCGCCCGAATCGGCCGCTGCCGAAGCGACCTGCCCTGCAGGAAGGCATCCGTGGGCGTTGTAGGCGACCCAGGGGCGTTGACCACCACGTCGTCGCCCGTCATCTTGCTGAGGGCCCGCAGCGCCCGAAGCCGACGGAGGGGAAAGTCGACCTGCGCGCAATCCTTGATCGCGATCGCCACACTCTTGTGCCAGGCGGTGGCCTTGGAGCACTTGGGGATGCGCGGCGGGCTGCGTACCGCAACCTTGGCCATCTTGAGTCGTGGCCTGGCGGCGCGGCCTGCGTAGTCGTCGTACTCGTGATCCAGGCCCACGGCGTCGATGATGTTCCACTCGGCCTGGTAGACGAACAGCTGCCAGCGCGAGGAGAGCGAGCTCGTGGCCTGCATGGCCTGCCGAGTGGCCTCCAGGGAGCTGAGTGGCCCCTGCTGCAGCGCGCGGCGGGCGGGCAGGGCAGGCGCTTGGGGGCCTCCATGATCTGCATCTTCCTGGCGAAGGTGCTGCCGTCGACCCTCAGCTGGACAGGAAAGTGCGGCGCCAAGTTCCAGCCGCGCAGCACCTTGGCCTCCGCTTCGCCGAAGGTCGTACTGATGGCCCAGTAGTCGATGATGCGCCCCCCCAGGGCGGCAGGTGCCCTCGACGGGAGCGACCACCTTGAGCTTGAGTGCGTTGAGAAAGCCTGACGCCGCCAGCTCCTGCGGCTCCAGGTTGAAGTCCCCGCCAATGATGATGGGCTTGGCGATCTGCTTCGCCGCTCGGAAGACGACCTGCAGCACCTGGTAGTTGAAGTCGGACATGCCCTCGCTGTCCTTGAGGTAGACGTTGAACCAGGCAACTCCGCCAGGCACGATGCCAGCGAAGTGGGCAACCGGTGCCCTGCCAGGGAAGAGCTGAGCTCGAAGCCGCTCTTCATCTCAAAGGCGCCGAAGCCGTGCGCACGGGGCGCCAGCTGCAGCAGCCCTCCATGGCCGTGAAGGCCTGGGCCAGTGCCCACTGCGGGGCACGCGAGGGCATGCCAGCCCTGCTTCTTGAGCTGGTCGATCACCTCCGCGCACTTAAAAAGTCGGAGAGGTGAGTCTCCTGCACCGCGATCATATCTGCGTTGCGCACCTGGTTCTCGGCGAGCAGCGCCTCGAACCTGCTGTAGGCGCTGGCGTTGATGGCGAGCGCCGACCACCGGCGCCCCTTGGCAGAGCTACCCGCCTGCCGTCTTGGATCGCTTGGCTGCGCGGATGGTATCCAGGGCCTCGGCAAGTCGCTTGCGCTCTCCCTCATCTTGGCAGGAGCCCAGCAGGCCGCCAGGATCACCACCAGCCATGAAAGCGTCGAAAGCCTCATCGGGCGTGGTCCCGTGCGATGGGCCGCCCGCGGCAGCGGCCGCTTCGCCTCCAGCTGCATCTCCTTCAGGGGGGGCTGGCTCTTGGGCTGCAGGCGGCTCGTGCAGCTGCGGCTCGGTCGGCTTGCTGGCGTTGTCGAGCTCGTCGACCGCTGCCTGGAGGGACTTGGGAAAGTCGGCGAGCGTGGTGCCCTCAGTGGGGATCTCTCCGGGCATGGCCTTGAGCTGCTGCACCGTGACCCCGCCAGCTGCGGGTGTGCTCGCGCCGTACAGCTTCGCCGCGTCCTGCTTCGCCGACTCGAGCTCCTTCTCCAACTTAGCCACTTCAGCCTCCGAGGTAGATGCCGCCTCGAGCAGCTTGAGAGCCTTGTCCGTATTGCTTGCCAAACGGTCCTTCGCGTGCTGGAGGGCCCTGGCGGCTTCGTCGACAGCTTGAGGAGCTTCACGACCAGCAGCGCCAAGTAGCCCAGCAGCAGCAGCGCGCCTGGCGTTCTCAACCTTCTGCCTGGAAGAATGAGACAAGGCGTTCTTCGTTTTCTCGTAGATGTCGATGGGAAGCTCGGACCACTCCTTGACGTCGCTGGGCGAGAGGGTAGCGCCTGCGGCTGGCTGCGGCCATTGTGCCTGCGGGGCTCCTCCTTGCTTGGTCCATGGCTTCCATCCGCCCTGCTTGAGAGCAGGCCATTTACGCTGCATCCAGAAATCGGCTCCTGTCGGCCCACCGTTCCAAGGACGAGGTGGCGGTTTTGCTTCTCCACAATTGTTGCATGTCCGACGGCTCTTGGTGTTGAACTCGCCGCAACTGCACTTCCAATACTCTGCCATGGCGAAAGCACACTGGCGAGCACAGTCAGCAGACACAGGTGGCGGGTGAGTTTGCCGAGCACAGTGGTGCCAGCGAGGAAAGCCTGGGCGAGCCGCGGACTAGCGGTATCCGTGTCCTCCACAGGGGGAGGCATGGTCTTGAGCCAAAATGGCTACGGAAGTGGCAGCATCACCCACCCAGTACATCGCTTCGTGGCCCCATTAGGAGATCCACCGAAGCCCCCAGTGGGACCGTCCGCATGCGTCCCGGAAGCCCAATTTGGCATTTTCACTCACCCAGTACAGCGTTTCGTGGCCCCATAGGGAGCTCCACCAAAGCCCCCAGTGGGACCGTCCGCGTGCGTCCCACACACCCAATCTGGCATTTTGCACCCACCCAGTACAGCGGAGCTCCACCGACGGCCCTAGTACTACCGCCCGCATGCGTTCCCCCCCACCCAGTGCAGCGCTTCGTGGCCCCATAGGGAGCTTCACCGAAGAAAATATTCACCATTGCGGTACCCACAACATGATAATTTCCCAGCCATCTTGTGGTGTTGGGTCCTGGTTTTGAAGAACGGTCCCCGCGTCTCCTCCTCCCGTGCCCCCCCCAGTGGTGGTACCACATGCGTCCGCCACCCAGTACAACGTTTCATGGGCCCAAAGGAAACTGCATCGGAGGCCCCAGTAGCGGTACCACATGCGTCCGCCACCCAGTACAGTGTTTCGTGGCTCCATGGGGAGCCCCACGTAAGGCCCCACTGGGTTTACCACATGCGTCAGCCACACCCGGTAGAGGGTTTCGTGGCCCCCAAGCTCCACGCAAGGCCCCCGTGGGGGTACCACATGCGTCCTCCACAACTAGTACAGCATTTCGTGGCCCCAAACGAGCTCCACCGAAGGCCCCATTGGGTGTGTCCACATGCGTCCGCCACACCCAGGACAGCGCTTCGAGGCCCCATAGGGAGCTCCATCGGAGGCCCCAGTGGGGGTGGCCACATGCGTCCGCCACACCCACGACAGCGATTCGTGGCCCAATAGGGAGCTCAATCGGAGGCCCCAGTAGGGGTGGCCACATGCGTCCGCCACACCCAGTACAGCATTTCGTGGCCAGTGTGACCGTCCGCGTGGGTCCCGCACACCGAATTTGGCATGGTCGCCCACCCAGTACAGCGCTTCGTCGCCCCATAGGAAGCTCCACCGAAGCCCCCAGTGGGACCGCCCGCATGCGTCCCGCACGCGCAATTTGACATTTTCACCCGCCCACTACAGCGCTTCGTGGCCCCAAGAGGGAGCGCCACAGAAGCCCCAAGTGGGACCGCCCACATGCGTCCCACACGCCCATTGTGGCAGCTTCACCCACCCAGTACAGCGTTTCGCGGCTCCATAGGAAGCTCCTCCGAAGCCCCCAGTGGGACCGCCCGCGTGCGTCCCACATACCCACTTTGGCATTTTCACACACCCAGTACAGCGCTTCGGGGCCCCATTAGGAGCTCCACCGAAACCCCCAGTGGGACCGTCCGCATGCGTCCCGCAAAGCCCATTTGGCATTTCCAATCACCCAGTACAGCGTTTCGTGGCCGCATAGGGAGCTCCACCGAAGCCCCCAGTGGGGCCGTCCGCATGCGCCCCCGAAGCCCAATTTGGCATTCTCACCTACCCAGTACAGCGTTTCGTGGCCCCATAGGGAGCTCCAGCGACGGCCCCAGTACTACCGCCCGCATGCGCCCCCCCCCACCAAGTTCAGCGCTTCGTGGCCCCGCAGGGAGCTTCACGAAAGAAATATTCAGAATTGCGGATTGACCCGAGTTAAATCATTTGACCGGGTTCGTGCCCCCCCATTCCCCGCCCAGTGAGCGCGCAGGGGTGTTCGGATGATGTCGACATGCGCGCGCGAGAGGCCGCGTGGTTTCATGTGGCTGAAAGAAACGGCGTTTTGTTGGAAGGATTCGCAAAAACGCGCGCAGGTTTTTGCAGTGGAAGTGTTTGCCATTGTTTTCAGTGAAAAAACAATGTCGTGTGTCGGGAACCCCGATCATGAACCCCGTTCCAAGTCAGCGGCTTGATGACAGTTTCCAGCATGCGTGCGCGGCCGACGGGCGCGACCTGCCCGCACGGTATTATTTGACAGGGCTCGTGCCCCGCCAGCGGGCGCGGAAGGGCGTCCGGATAATTTCGGCACGCGCACGCCATAGGCCGGCTTGGCTGGATTTGATACCCATGTTGGAACACCAGTGGTGTTGCCCTTAGATATGGGCGCGCGCAGATGTTCTGAAACCACGTGCCAAGATCATGTTAAGAGCATCTGTGTTCGGGCACCTCGGTTCTGAAATCATTCGAGCCGAAGGTTTTTTTAGGAGTTCGGCATGCGCGCGACGATGTGCGCATGGTGATTATGTATTTTGTTGCAACCAGGGTTGTTAGAATGGGCTGATGTGTGATAAGCGAATGTGCGCGCAGAGTAACCCCTGCAATGTATGAAGGGGGGATACTTGCCTGCCTGGGATGGTATGAAATTATCTGCAAAATGAACGATGGGCCCAATCCTTGCGTAAATCGTAGCATCCCCAGGAGAGCCGATAAGACCGGCGGTGGTGGTAGATCCTTTATCCCGTCTTGAAAGAACAATCGGTGATGCAGTATTTGCTGTGCGACCTGTGTCGCGCAATGCGCTGCAGGGCGATGCCAAGCAATGCGAAGCAATGCGTCGCAATGTCACGCAACGCAACTCATTGCGAATTAGTGAGCACCAACGCAAAGCAGCGCATGCCAATGAAATTCAACGCATAGTAAACAGAAATGCAATGCAATGCAAAGCAGTGCGAAGCAACGCACCGAAACCAGTTCAAGCAAGTGTAATGCAAAAGCAAGGTAGCGCAACGGAATGCAACGCAAGGCAAGGCAGTGTCAAGCAATGCAAAGCAATGGAGAGCCATGCAAAGCAATGCCACGCAACACCAAGCAATGCAAAGCAGGGCGAAGCGGGCGGCGACGAGGCGACGAGGCGGCCAGAGCGGCGCGCAGGCCCCTGGCGACGGGCAGCGACGGGGCGGCGACGGGCAGCGACGAGGCGGCGACGAGGCAGCGACGGGGTGGCGTTGGCGGCGACATGGCGGCCCGAGCGCCAGTCGGGCCCAGACGACGGGCGGCGACGAGGCGGCGACTGGGCGGCGGCGGCGGCTACACAGCTGCTGGACCGCCAGGCAGGCCCAGCTCCCTAGACCGCAAGCGAGAAGTCCTGAGTGCAAGCACTGCTTAGGGAATGCCGGATGCCGCATGCCGACCCTGCGAACGCAGGCTGAAGATGGCCTCCCAGAGGCGTAACGTAAGCAAACCAACAGGCCCAGTTCTGTAGACCGCAAGGCAGACCTCCTAAGTGAAAGCACTGTTTGGGGAATTTTAGATGCCACATGCCGGCCTTGCGAGCGCAGGCTTAAGATGGCCTTCCAGAGTCGCAAAGTGAGCAAAGAGGACCCAGTCCTACAAAGGAGGATGGGGGTTCGGATGGGGCAAGGACGAGGATAAATCCGTTTCAGAGCGTTCTGGTACGCTCTCAGAGCGTTCCAGAACGTTCTGAGAAGGCCGCGGCGCTCGAGACATGCTCCAGAGCTGGCGGATCTCAGAGATTTTCGATTCATCCTGACCCGATTGCGAAGGCCTTACGGCCAGTGCAACCGACCCTGAAGGGGAACGACGACAACGGCGGCGGCGGCGACGACGACGCTGACGTGGGTCAGAGTCCTCGTGGATGCTTCTTGGGGTCTCGAGGCGCTCTCGGGGGCGTCTGGGGGACAGTTTAGGGGCCTCTTGGGAGCCTCTTGGGGGCCTCTTGGGACCCGATTTTATCCTCGTCCTGGTTTCGTCTGAAGGAGGAGGAGGAGGAGGAGGAGGAAGAGGAGGAGGAGGAGGCGGAGGAGGAGGAGGAGGAGATCTCAGAGATTCTCGATTCGTCCATCCGATGTTGTCCTCGTCCTGGCTTCGTCTTAGGGGTGGCCAGGACCGCTGGGAGTGGATGGTTGACGCCCCCCCCCCCCACAGGAGGCCCCCGCGGCCGAGAGCGCTGGGGGCCGCAGGCGCCCCCCCCCCGCCCGCGGCCCCGAGCTCTCGGCGCGAGGCGCGAGGCTCGAGGCTCGAGGATCGAGGCTCAAGGCTCGAAGATCGAGGCCCCGAGCTCTCGGCTCGAGGCCCCGAGCTCTCGGCTCGAGGCCCCGAGCTCTCGGCTCGAGGCGCGAGGCTCGAGGCTCGAGGATCGAGGGCCGATCTGCGAGGCCCACATCGGAGACGAAACGCCCGCATGCAGTCGGTTCGCGTCGCGTCGACCTTCGGCGACCCCGCCGCGGGCCTTCAGGGTTGAACGCCGCCAGTGGCCCCGAATCCACAAACATGGAACGATCGGGAGGTCGAAAAGCCGGCGATCGTTCCAGAGTCCAACGCCGTGGTTGTCACGACACGAACTTGCCGTAAACGTGCACTTTTGGCGTTCCACGCGGATTTCTTGGATCCGCGCTGGGGCCCCCCCTGGCGGCGCCTCCGGCGCCGCCCCTGGCGCGCTCCGCGCGCCAGGGAGGGGGGTCCAGCGCAGATCTAAGAAGTCTGCGTGGAGCGCCAAAAGTTTATGCCTTTGTTTTCTTCTGATGCAGGGTGGGGGATCGTGGATCGGACCTCGAGAGTCGATCTGGGAAGCATGCAGGCTCGAGGATCGGTGATCGGTGTCTATCTGCGAGGCATGCAGGGCCGCGAAGGTGCATAGTGTCGAACATGGGGTGGGGGTTTTGGCGGAATGCGACCTCTGAAGCAACGGGAGAATAGGAGCAGACTTGTTGAGGGCATGCCTCACCTTTCTATCTGTTGCCGGTCTCTCTCTCTCTCTCTCGTTCTTTCCCTCTTTTTTTCAAGCTCTCCGCCGCCTCAAGCGGTGTGCGTTCAGAGCGGGAGCACAGCAAAGCCACGGGAAAGCGCGGCATCGACAGTGCAGCTCCGCACGCGTACCAGCTGCTCCAGCGAGCAAGAACACAGCAAAGCCCCAGGACAGCGAGGCATTGACAGTCCCTGAGATCCAACGTTGCAAACACATGCAACATCGCAAACAAATCACGACCAGACCCCCAGACCCCATCTTTCTGCGCTATCCTTCGAGCCAGATCCATCTGTGAGGGTCCCAGGGCCCGAAGTTGAGCGAAAACGCCCGGCTCGAAAAAAATTAGTTGCCAGGATCTCAGGGGTCTCGCTATCTCTCTCTTTCTCTCTCTCTCGCTCTTTGTCCCTCTCTAGGCCTTCCAGATGGGGTCCGAGCAGATGGTGTCGGAGGTTCGCGATTTATCGCCGATGCATCGGCGATGCGGCTCGATGCGCAGCCCGATGTTTCTCCACGCCCACATCTCTGATGCATCGCCGACGTCGCCAGCGCATCGCCGATGCATCGCCGCTAAATCGGCTATGCATCGCGATCCTTCGACCCCATCTAGTCGGACCCCATCTATCTGGTTGACCCACAAGGGGGTCCAGCTACAAGGGGGTGGTGCAACAGATCTAGTGCAATAGATTTGCGGGTTGCAGTAGATTTGGGGCGTGCAATACATTCCGGGGCGCAGATGTATTGCTGGATTTTCGTGCGCAGTGCATTAGTTGCAATACAATGGAACACAATTCCCTGGCGGAATGCACTTGCGATACATTTGCCCAACATCTGTTGCACCACCCCCTTGTCAGCCGGACCCCGCTTTTTGGGGTCCCCCAAATCTAGGAGGCCTCCACTCGCTCTCGCTCTCTCTCTCTCTCTCTCGCGCTCCCTCGCGCGCCTCGGCGGCGCCTCAGGGCCGGCGCCTGGCGACGCCCAGAGAGCCCGCCGAGCCTGCTGCCCGGCGGCCTGCGCGCGCGCAGGGGCTGCAGCAGCTGCGCGGCTCGCCCCCCCGCGCGAGAGTGGCGAGCATCGGGGAAGAAGAGCGGCACACATCCTTGGCATCGCTCGGACGTGTGCATTTTTCTTTCGGCGAGGACCATCGAGGAGCATCCTTGATCATTTGGCGAAAAAAACCACGCACGAAACCAACAAACAATCACAGGGAATGGACGTCCGAGCGATGTCCAGACATCCGCCTCGATTACTCGACCCCGTAACCGCGAAAGCCCAGGCCTCCTAGATGGGGTCGGAGTAGATGGGGTCGGGGTCGGAGTAGATGGGGTCGGGGTCCGGCGCCGTCTCTGGCGTGCTCCGCGCGCCAAGGAGGGGGGTCCAGCGCCCATCTGAAAAATCCGCGCGGACCTCCGAGTGTGTATGCTTATGTCATTGTTGGTTTCCCTCTCATTATCCTCCGAAAGAGAACCTTCCTGCCTCCTTTCCGCCCGCCCTCTTGGGGGTTCGCGTGGCACCCACGGCCGCATCCGCCCCGAGGTCCTGGCCAGAGAGTGCCCCTGATCAGGCCCAGGGGTCGACTTGCTGGCCCGGCGGGCCCCAGAATCACAGCGCAGGCGGAGCAAACACACGGCGGAAGGCTCGAGCTTGGCAGCGTTCGGCGTCCAGGGGGGACCCTTCGCCGGCGTCCAGGGGGGACCCTTCGCCGGGGTCCTTTCTGACAGCTAGCGTCGACACCAATGTGACCCTTTCTCGGGGTTGATTTCCGTGGAGGGCTACGGGTGTGTGTCGTCAGATGGGTGGCCCCCGCTCGAACAGGAGCCCTCGTCGGGGTCCGACGCCCCCCCCCGCACACATCCACGCACACACATCCACGCACACACACACACACACATACACACACACACACGCCTATCACGTTTTCACCTCATTGCCCTTCCCCATCCCTCCTCCCTATAGGTTTGAGCGCGCGGTGCACTTTCTTACATCCTTCGTTCTCCCTCCCCTCCCCATCCCATCTTTCACATGCATTCCCTCCTCTTCACTCCCGCTCCGCTCCTGGCTTCCTCTTGCCTCCCTCTTGCATCCTCCTTCGAGCTCCCGCCTCCTGACTCCTTCTCCCAACTGTCCGGCACAGTTGGTTTCTGCAGTACGGGTGGCGGGGGCCCTAAAGATGTTCTTCCTGCTCGCTCGTTCTGACCGACAGTAACTTATCGTCTGGACCCTGCTTTTTCTCAGGGTCAATCTCGATCCGATCGATCCGATTCAATATCGATTCTGGCCCGCTCGTTCCGATTCGACTCCGATATTCCGAAGGTCCGATGCCACCTGATGTTGCCATGGATGTTGCTCTGAGCGTTGTGTTGCATCCTGGCGCGGCCAATCCGATTCGATTCCGATTCATTGCCGATGCGACCAGATCCGACGCACATTCCGATTCGATCCTATTTCTCGATTCGATGGTGATTGTTCCTGCCTCTCCTCCCCCTCCTACTCGTCCTCCCCCGTGCCTGCTGGCATCCTGGCGAAGACATCCCACGCTCATGATGTCCATCATGGGGCCGTCTGGGGCGTCTCCATCCTGCACCAGCCCCTCGCCTCCATTCTCTTGGCCTGGATGGTACGTTTTCGACCATCGAATCGGAACACCAGGGCTCGAGCTGAACGGTGTTCGGGCGATTTCGGGAACCGCGCTTTCGTTCTGGCTTCGTGCTGCAGCCAAGATGGAGCGAAGAGCAGGGCGAAAGAGCACGAACACCATAACGAAGCACGAAGGACACTGGTTAGTAAAGCCGATCGCCCGTATTTCCCGCAGTCCTTTCTCTCAGGGGAGGGGGCTCGCGCGGTGCGGCCCGCATGGTCGACGTGCACACAGTTTCAGCGTCGATTCGACCTCGAGGTTCAGGTCGAACAGCGCGCGTCAGAGCGTCGATTCGCGGGAACCGGCATGATGACATGGTTGATTTCCGCAGGAGTTGCTACAGTCGCCGAGCGCGTTCCACTACTCGCAAAAGTGCCTACCCACAGCATCCGCAACACACACACACATTTGTTTGCTTCGATGTAATTCTTCGTAGATCCCCCGCGGCGGATCCAGGCCATTCGCTAGTACAGTCAACCAGCATAATAAGGATGGGCAGCCTTCCCAAGAGTACCCTCGCATCCTTGCCTCCCCGGTCCATCCTTGGCCACCCCCGTTGGCCGCGCCCCGCCAGAGAGAAGCCTCGAGATAGGCGTCCAAGGCCCTTGCATCCTTACCGCGCATCCTTGTGGTACGGGCCCGCTGCATGCTCTGACCAGGCTCTCGAGGCGGGCCCGGCCGTGGCGGGGAGCCCCCCCCATTGCCTTCTGCGGGCTGCTTGTAGTTCCTCTGCGAGCCGTGGAGCGCGCCTGTCTGCCCGCCCCCCCCCCCTGCCCTTGGCCCCCCCGCCCGCGCGGCGCCGCGGCGGCTCGAGCCAGGTGGGGAGGGTCGGACGGGGCCAGGAGGAGGGCAACACTTCCCTTCCCTTGGCACCTCCCAGGAGGACGTGCGCATTCTTCCTCCTCGCCTCTTTTTTTATGGTTCAAATACCAAGCTTTCTTTACATTCAATAACCAGCCTTTGAACTCCACAAAACATTTTTTGAATTCAAGGTCCCGTTCCCTTGGCATCGCTCGGACGTTTGCATTCCTCCTCGGCGAGGGCCATCGAGGCGCAGATTGGATCGTCTTGCGAAGACATATACCCGCGCGAAGTCGAAAACTGCACACGGGGAATGGACGTCCGAGCGATGGCCAGGTTCCAGAGCGTTCGGGCATGTTCTCAGAGCGTTACGGAACGCTCTGAGAAGGCCGCGGCGCTCAAGACATCTTCCAGAGTCGCCAGATATCTCAGAGGTTCTCGATCTATCCTGGCCCCTTGGCATCGCTCGGACGTGTGCATTTTTCTTCGGCGGGGATCATTGAGGAGCATCCTGCATCATCCTGCGACAAGCTCAATTTACGCACGAAGCCGAAATAATGTACGGGAATGGACGTCCGAGCGATGGCAAGGACCCAGATCGTCCTGGCATGTTCTCAGAGCGTTCTGGAACGCTCTGAGAAGTCCGCGGCGTCCGAGACATCCAGACCCGCCGGATATCTCAGATATTCTCGATCTATTATGATCCTCTGGCATCGCTCGGACGTGTTCATTTCCCCTCGGCGGGGATCACTGAGCATCATCCTGGATCCTCCAGCGACAAAGCACGCACGAAGCCGAAACAGTGCACGGGGAATGGACCTCCAAGCGATGGCAAGTACCCGATTTTTCAGAAGCCAGGCGAAGGCTGGCAAACCCGTGGCTGCTAAAACGGAGCTCCGGGAAATTGTTTTTTCTTCTCCGGGAGGCAGCTCGTGTATTACGTAGTGCGTTGATCGTTCTCTTCTTCCGGGAATTGTTTTTTGTTCTTCTTCCGGGAAGAGCGTTGTAGCAGCCAGGGATTTGGCAGCCTTCGCCCAGGCTTCCGAGTTTTGCCCTCGCCCTGGCTTCGTCTCAAAGCGAGGGGGGGGGGGCGCGGAGGCTCGAGCCTTGGGGTTAAGTCGGGCACGTCCCTCTACAGGAGGGAAAATCAAAAACAGTCCACAACAGTCTGGTGACGATTTTCAGTATTTTTGCTGCTTTTGGGGGGGGCATCTTTGGGGTATTCTTTAGTCTCTCGTCCACAGACCTCCTGCAGGGCAACAGGCCCGACCAAACCCTGGGGAGAAGGCGGCCGCGCGCGCGCCCGGCGGCGGCGGCGGCCCGTCGGGCCGGGGCCTCGGCGGCGCGCGCCAGGCCCGGACAGGCTCGCGCCGCGCCGGCTCTCGGAGGGGACCCGGGAGCCCCTGGCGCCATGCAGAAGTCACGGCGGGAGGGTTTTCAGTGTTGACGGGGACGGTCCTGAGGTTCCGGAGGTCCCGAGCCTCTTTGTTGTACGGGTTGACTGTACGGAATCAGGAATGTCGGGGACGATCGTGCGCAGAAGGGGGGGCTTGGACCTTCCCCTGCCTGCTGGAGCTCGCGCGCGCATGCTTCTTTGCCATCGCATCGAACCCCCGTTCCGACGTGCCCCATCGTGCCCAATGTGTATTCGAAGTTTGTGAATGAAAAAGGAAGGGGTCGCAACCCCTCCAGACGAGCAGATGTTGACCCCCTCCATTCGGATGCAACTCCTGGGAGGTCAAATTCGGACTTTGCTATGATCCGACGTCCGGCTTAATTCTTCTTCTTTCCGTTTACTTGCTTAATCCGGCTTGATCCCGCTTAATATGTGGCCTAATCCCGCTTAGCAACCCCCAATGGGGTTTATTCTTCTTTAGTCCTTGCGACGAATACCTCCCAATATTTGCCTCCCACCCTCAAGACCAGCCATTGCAGTGCAGCGTTATTGCCCAGACCCCGCCGCTGGAACCCTCCCCGACAGCTCCAAGCAGACCGTCCCCAGCATAACCCCGTCCTCTATTTTGAGATTCGGACTACCGACGCTGGGGCCCCAGCCCCCGCCCGCCCAGGCAACGACTGCTACCCGACATGGGGAAAGCAGCACCCCAGACCAACGCCCGCGTCGCCACGGCACGAACCTGCCGTAGAGGGGACTAGTCGCAGGCTCAGAGGTTGACACCAACACCAATATCGGCGGTGTGCCTCCACCGAGGGAACAGGATCCCGATCTCGGTGATGGTGGTAATATTTTGACTTCCAAGGCGACCGAAATCTTACCACCAACACCGAAATCTAGGAATCCTTGTCCCTGTGGAGGCATACCCCAATGTTGGTGTTGGAGGCCCATTTCCAGGCCTCCAAGTCAGCGCCTCCTGGAGGGCCTGGGCTTGGCCGGGAGCCACGGCCAGGCCCATCGTGGGCGCTGGACTGGTGCACAGGCCTCGCTGGTCTAGGCCAGGAGGTCTGTACACCGATCCAGGGCCCAGGAAGAGTCTGGCCAGGGCCGGTGGTGGTGGCGTTGTGGTTGGCGTCCCTCCGATTGGGAGCCGCGCGGCGCTGTCCAGAGCGGCCTCGCCTTATCGGCGCGCCCCCTCCGCCCCAGGCGTGCTTTGGCGGACCGCAGGTTGGCGGGGGGCGCGCGCAGGCAGGCTGCCCAGAGGTCGGCGGAGGGCGGCGGAAGTGGAGCTCTCGATGGCTAAGTGCCCACGAGTCGCAACGCCTGGCAAGAGGCAAGGCGTTGGATCGCGCCGAAACGCGCGCAGGCTGCTCGGAGGTCGGCGAGAGGTGGCGGAAGTAGGAGCTCTCTCGATGGCTCAAGCGCCCACGAGTCGCGACGCCCCCAGAGACCCGACGCTCCAAAACAATAGGAGCGGCGGGAGTTGGTCAGTTTTCGGCCTCCCGGGGCCCTCGCCGGGCCTCGGGAGCGTCAAAAAACGACTCGGCACGCAAAACCGGCCCCTGGGAAGTGGAGCTCTCGATGGCCTGAGCGCCCACGAGTCGCAACGCTCAGGTGTTCGATCACGGACCCCTTGTTGACGTTGAGTCGAGCCCTGTCCCTCTACAGGAGGACGATTCAAAAATTGTAGAACAAAGAATCTGGAGACGAATTGTTTTGACTACTTCCGAACATGTTTTGATTTGTTTTGACTAATTTTGTTTTCCGTCCGACATCCGCCTGTAGGAGGACACGCCCGACCTGAAGTTAGCCGCAGTCGTCCAGCTTTGGTGCCGAAGACCGCCGAAGACCGCTGGAAACGGACGAGAACCGCCGAAACCCGTCAGAAGCGCCGAAGGCCGCCAGGAGACCGCCGAAGACCTCCGACGACCGCCGAGAAGACCGCCCAGGGTCAGTGGGTAACGAGGGTTCCATCGTCGAATACGTAAGTAACATCGCCAGTCTACCTGCGCCTCCTGGGGCCCCGACCTGGCAAGTCGGTGGGTCGCGCCGAGACGGCCGTTTCGGTCGAGGTTTTCCCATGAGGCCCACAACGAAGCTCTCCAGCGACAAGAGAGAGCAGTGCCCGCGAGGGAAGTGGACGTGAGGCGTCGATTTTTTTGGTCCAGCGTTTCCGGAGGCACGTGGAGTCGACCCCCCCTCGCATCTCCCCGTTGCCCCTTGCATGGCTCCTTTCGATTCCTCCGATTTGATTCGATTTCGATTGTTTCCGATTCCGATTCGAGCCGACTTGGCATTCCGACTTGATTTGGGTTCCGATTTCTGATTGGAGGCATACTGGCCTGCCGATCTCTGCCGATTCGACTTCTCCCGACTCGGCTGCCGACTTCCGCCGATCCGATTCGTTCCAATCGCGGACCCGGCTTGTCGTTTCGATCCTGGGCTCTCCTGACCCTGGGCCGGACAGCTGCTACCGTTCGGCCGGCATTGGTTTGCGACCCGGCCGTGGCCGAGCCAGGCCGGCGCTGGCCCAGTCGGCGCGCCGCCGCCAGGGGAGACCTGCCCTCCCGCCGCCCGCTGCTGGATGCAGGCCCCCGCGGGGGGCTGAAGCTGCCCAGCAGCCGGGCTCCTCGAAAGCCTCGCGCCGGCTCCTCGTCGTCGCTGCCCTTTTGGGCGCGAAGTGCCCAGACCCCCTCGGGGGTCGCAAAAATCACGACGGGAGGCTTTTCGCTATGTTTGGCCTCTGGGGAACCTTATTTCGGTATCGTTTAACCAGTCCCCATCCCCATCCCCATCCCCTTTGAGACCCCCACCAACTTATCACCCAAGTTGGGGACACACCCCTCGCAACCTGAAGGGAACGACCTATATTCCCATCTAGGGGGTAAATCGACCAGTGGGGCCCAGGACACGCCGCTGGGGATGGGGATCGGTTAAACGATACTCATTTTTGGGCCTCGGGACCGTCAACAAGAAGACTCCAGATGAAAAGCCGGTCCCGGGGAATGTGCCGGACCTCTGGGGGTCGCGTCATGGAAGCATCATGACGTCGGGGGTCTGGGTAGTGGGGGGGGCGATAAATCGGGGGGCAGCGATGGCTGCAGAAAAGGAGCCCTGTATAGAGCCCCCGCAGGGGCCCTTCAGGGCCCAAGAGGGGGCCTTGAGGGCCCGAGAAGGTCACCCTTCTTCCCCTCCCATTCATCGCCCCCCCATTGATTCGCGCCCAGTCCTCCTCATCCTCTCCCCCGGGCTCGGGTCGGACGAGGCGGGGGATCGGGTGAGGTTACGAGGTCTGCTGCCTGCAGCTGTTTACTACGGCCCCGCCGTCGGGCGCTCTGCTCGATGCCACATGCGTCACATGGGCGCCTCAGCCGCGGGGAGGCGCCGGGAAAGCAGGCTGCGGATGGTGAGTTGCTAACCTCCCCTTTGATAAAACCAACCCCCAAGTCCGACCCAGCGGGCGCGAACAGCATTGATCCCCAGGGTGCGACCCGCCCTCGCTCCGAGGAGCGGCGCGAGATTTGTCATCCGGCTCCGAGGTCCAGCCGGCTCGGGAGCCCAGGACACCAGAATTGAGCTCTTTAATACATTTCATGATGTTCCAACCTACTGTAGCCTTGATCACCAGAAAAAATACAAGCACCAAGAGCATACCGAAACTTATGGGTTTTCACGTGTCGGGCCCAGGGAGGCGATATTCGTTCGGCACTGTTTCGATACTTTTCTGGGTACTCGAAATAATTTCTGGGATTGGGTCCGTAAGCACGATGGGGGCACCATGTAAGGTATGGGTTTCTTGTGGAGCTTGGTCTCTGGTCTCCTTGCTTGGCCTGCCATCTGGCAGTCGACGAGGGAGATGCAGCCCCTCTGCGGGCTAGTGCGCACGCCAGTCGATGAAAGTAGGGGCTTCCGGGGGCCCAAGTCCCAATCTACGTTGGGCGCTTTCCTTCAAGAGTCGAGAGATATTCCCTCTGCCCTCGTCCTCAGGGGGCGTGCGGAAGCCCAGTCTGCTTTCAGCGCCTCCCCATTTCGTGTTTCTACGCACTGCTTCAGACCGACTGGTATCGCGGGAAGTATGTACCTGCATTCCGTGGCCTTGGATTCCCACGGAATAAAGCTACACCGCCGATTCGTTCATGATCTGTTGTTGATCATGAACAGACATATTGCGAGCAGGGTGAAGCAGCTCGTCGACAATCACCTCGCCAACGTCATGATTGATGACATCCGATAATTACGGTATTGATTCAGTTGTTTGGGGGGATCTCAGCGTCGACACCGACCGGGGGAAATTGACTTGGTAGCTTGACAGTAAGCATCTGGCTAAATATTTGTCTGTGTCAGCAACTTCGGCACACCCGCGGCGAATCTTCCAAGGTCTCGTACACCGCTGTCTGCGCACGCGTCAGCACCAGCGGGACGCCTTGGACCGCAACTCTCTGTACGTCAGGCGTTGCCAGGATCGTGGTTATTCCACGAGCCAAGCACGCAAGTTTCTATTTGTCGAAGTCACCTCTGACCTGAATTGAAATACTTCGCGAAGATTCGTGATCTTTTCCAGCAGTCGCCGACCAATCTTGGCGATGGGAGTGCAGAGGAATCGTCTGGCGACTTCACGTGTGTAATCTTGTACGCTTCGCGCATCCCCACCAGCCCATCCAGAAACGATCGCCAGACCTCCTGCGCGACGTGTCGCTGGTTGCCTGTTTCTCCCGACGTATCGCTAGTTACCTGCTGCCCTCGTGTGTCGTTGGTTGCCCGCGGCCCTGGACGCGCCACTCGTTGCCTGTTGCCTTAGACGCGTCGCGTGTAGGGCCCGATGGCTCAAAAAGCGTGAGTCCTAAGTGCAGATCCCTCCCCTCGGTGGCCCAATGTTGGAGGCATTGTTGGCCCCACTTTGGCCTTCCTGGTGCCCTCTTGGGGCCTTCTTGGAGCCCTCTTGTGGCCTTTTGGGTGGGTCTGGGAGGTCTCGTGGGGCCGTCTGGGTCCCCGTGGCTCAAAAAGATAAGGGTACTTAATTTAGGCCCCCCTCCTCGGAGGCTCAAAAGTAGCCTCTTGGGGCCCCCTTGGGGCGCTCTCGGCCGTCTTGGGGCCTTCGTGCGACCCCCTCTTAGGGGCTCCCTTGGGCCATCTTGGGACCATCCAGAGGCCTCAGAGGCCCGGCGGAAGCGACGAAGCAAGAAGGCCATTCATATGGTGTTTCCCAGGTTTTCGAAGGATTCTGGCTTCCTGGAGGGTGACTAGGAAGGCTCGAGGGGCACTTGGAACCGGATATCCCCTCAAGCAGCACTGGTAAACTAAAACCTCTTGAGCCTAGTAGGCAGGGGCTCAAGAGGGGAGGAAGAAGGACGCACACGGCTCAGATGATGATGACGACCCTTTTGCCAAAGGGGCCGTGCCGCTCCTCTGCGCTGGCGCCCGGCGCTCCACGCGCCGGCGCCGTCTTCGGCCACGCGCAGCGGGCCACGCCGCGCCGCTGAGACACTGTAGTGCCAGGCGGCGCTGTAAAAGTCCAGAAAAAGGGGGCGGGTAGGGAGCCCTGCTGGGCTCCCAGGGTGGGCCAGCTTGGCCTTGGAAAGGCTTGAGCCGCGGAGCGGCGGTGGAGAGAGAGGGAGAGAGAAAGGGCAAGCAAGAGGCAAGGGCAGGAGCAAGGGAACCGCAAGTGGAAGCCCGCGCCAGTTCTGGAGTCGGGGAGATCCATCAGTTTTACCAAACATCCTAGATATCCCCTCAAGCAGCACTGGTAAACTAAAACCTCTTGAGCCTAGTAGGCAGGGGCTCAAGAGGGGAGGAAGAGGGACGCACACGGCTCAGATGATGATGACGACCCTTTTGCCAAAGGGGCCGTGCCGCTCCTCTGCGCTGGCGCCCGGCGCTCCACGCGCCGGCGCCGTCTTCGGCCACGCGCAGCGGGCCACGCCGCCTCCTTCCCCCTGCGAGCGCGCCACCACGCCGAACTGGCTGTAGTGGGACGCGTAGCCGCCGACCTTGTCGGCGTAGAACAGTCCTGGCATCCGCGGCAGGCCGCCGCGTCTGCCCAGCAAGGTGGGTCCGCAGGCGCAGGGCGGCAGGCCGCCGGCGCCCGCGGTGGTTCTTCGTGCGCCCTAGGCAGCAGCCCTGGCTGGGCTGGCTGCCGGCGCCCCCGTAGCCGCCACCGCCGTCCCCCATGACGGCACTGCCGGTTGCCGGGCCGGCGCGGCGCTCTTGCCCTCAGGCGCCAGCTGCCGCCGCGCCGCGCCCAGCTGCTCGCAAGCGCAAAGTTGAGCGCGGGCGCCAGGCTGAGCTCAGCCGGCGCCGCGCTTCCGCTCGCACGGCGTATGCCGGCGGCGGTGGTTCCCACGCGCCCCGCGCGGCAGCCCTGGCTGGGCTAGCCGCCGGCGCTCCTTCGAAGCCGCCACTGCTGCCCCCTTGGCGGCACTGCCGGGTGCCAGGCCGGCGCGGCGCCTGCCCACGGGCAGCATGGCCGCGGCACGCGCCCAGCTCGTTCGCAAGTGCGAAGCTGATGCGAGCGCCAGGCTGAACTCAGCCGGCGCCGCGTGGCCGCTCGCACGGCGGTTGCCGGCGGCGGTCCACTGCTGCCCGCTCGGCCGCTGGCCGGCGGCAGCCCGCACCCTAGTCACGGTGCGGCCTCTGCTCCCCTCCACGGGGCCATCCTGGTGACCCGCGGTGCCCTGACGGGGCCATCTCCCGCGTCACCTCGTTGGCCCGGCGGAAGCCCTGGGTCTCGTGCACGTACCTCACACCATTGTAGTGCACCGGGCCCATCACCCCTGCGTCGCAAAACGTCCTCTGCGGCTGCTTGGGAGGCTTATGCGCCTTGGGCGTCTGCTGCGCGGCGGCCTGCTGCACGGTTGGTTCCTGCCTACCCTCGTCCTCCTTGGCCGTCCCGCAGCAACAGCCACCAATCACCCCGATGCCTGCCGCAAGCAGCACTGCGATCGTGGCCACCACCTTCATCGCCGTCCCCACTGGGACAATGATCGCCACTGTATCCATCTGCGGCTCCCAGCGAAGCATGGCCCCTTGGGCCTTGCCGTCAACGGTTGCCACTTCTCGGCTCTGTATCTCTCCGGCTGCTGTCGTGAGCGCCGTCGCCACCAGCGCTGCACACAGCATGCCTGCGCAGGGGACGCGGATTCTGCAGCTGCTGCTGCGCCTGCGGGCCGCCCCTCTGCGCCTTCGCTGCTGCTCGCGCCGCCATGCAGCGCTCAGCAGCATGGCTGCCAGTAGCACCCCCGCTGCCATCGCCCAAGCTCCCAAGCCGACCGGGAGCGCGAGGATCAGCAGATTCTGGCTCTCCACCGGGCTGACCTTGAGCACGTAGCCATCTGCGCTGCCAGCTGTGGCGGCGAGCGTCGTCACGGTCAGCGCTGCTCTGGGCCACAGCGGGGTCGGGCTCCTGCCTGCACGGCGCGCGCCCTCGGCCGCATGGGCCGGCGGCGCCGCGAGCTCAGACACATCCGTCGCCATGTCGGTCGAGATGCCGCGCATGGGCTCGTGGCTCTCCCACAGGTACCCGTGAAAGCTGTCGGAGGCCCAGCGCCCGAAGCGCTTGACGCGCTGCAGGTCGTCCACGGCGTGGTACATCGC